TTCCTTTTTTTGCCTTTTCCTTCGTCTCTTCTCTACCGCCCCAATCAGGCAGGGATCTGAGCTCGTCGCTGGAGATCCTCAATCAACGGTTGAGGACGATAAGAATCCTCAGGAGACAGTGGGTTATTGGTTCATGGGAGAGATGGAGCAACTAAACACTTACTGGAAAAGGTGGAGTGAGACCGATTCAGGGAACCGAACAGACAGGGGATGATGTACAGTATCTAAGCCATGGTCATTGTTGCCTCTCGGTTACCCACAGACAGCTACGGGAGTACATGCATTTCATTTAATTAACCTTAAGAGACTTCCAGGATATAAGATGACTTTCATTTCCACCCCTCATCATTATCATCATCATCATCAACAAGCCCAGTTCCAGCCCGGTTCCTGAACCACCAACCAGTCCCGGAGATCGTCATTTAACGATCGGTCCGGCCTAAATTCAGCTGCACCATGGAACCAACCTCATTCGGCCATACTATATTAAGTTACTATGACTACTGACTACTCCGTAGAGAGCTGAGATCACCCCTCCCCTGAGATTTTGAAACACCATCCCCCCGGGAGGCTACCTGCTAGATGCATCAGGAGTAGATGCCTGGGGAGAAGGCTATGCAACTTCTCCGGCTTCTTGGGAGTGGCGCATTTAACTCGGGACGTGCGGTTTCAGAGTTTTGGGGCCATGGGGGCGGTAACATCCGTTTTTGGCGTATTCATCCATGGGCCACTGTTCTGTTCCTGCTCTTCTCTGCGCTTGCTGCTATACTACCTTTATAGTGTCTATACTATAGTTAATCATGGGGAAGCGTAGGACAAATACAATACTTTACTACGTTTTGGATCATGCTAAATAAATATCAAAATGCTTTTTTCTGACTCGTTGTGGTCCCATGTCTATCACAGACCCTGTACAGATGGAGATATCACCTATAAGAAAAAGGAATCAATATAATAAGAATCCAACGAACACCTCGATGAGCAAATGAAATGCGTTTGTAAAAGAAGAAAGAAAAAAAAAATCCCAGCCAATATTACATTGCCCCCCTGCTAAGGGACTGACACAGAGAAAATCTCTACCGGATCTTCTCCAGCAGCAGCTTCGCACCACTGCTGACTGGGCTGCCCTTCTTGCCATCCTTGCTAGTCTCCGACGACGCCTTCTCCAGCGCCTTCTTGTTCTTCTTCAGCGTCTTCAGCAACTCGGCCTTCTTCTCGAAGTCGTCCGACTCCGCAAGAGCCACCACGACAAACACATTGGATCCCGTGGCCCACGACATTGTCTCTTCTTGGATCTGCTCGTAAAGGAGACCGTGGAAGTTGAGCGGAGGCTGCACCTTCTCGACCTTCTTCTCGGCAGCGTTAAACCGTCCACCCTGAACCAGTGACTTGAGCAACCGACCCACGAACGGAGAGTCCTTGGTGTCGGCTCTGGATTTGGCGGCCTCAGCCACGGCGGCCAATGCGGCGCTCTTGTCTCCATCGGCTTCGAACAACACCTCGGAGATGAATTGGCATCCAAAGCTCGTCTCGAGGAGAGAGTCGGCGCGTGCGGAAATGAGCTCGAGCACGCTCGCCGACGCAGCCTTGACCAGCTCCTGTCGTCGAAGCTCGGGATCCTTCTTGGAGGTCTCCTTACGAATGTCACGAATCTCCTTCAGCAACTCATGGTCGCCGTCAGGCAGAAGCCACTTGACCCGGTCGCCGACAAACGGATACAGGATGGGGATACGCGCTGTCAAGTCGTTCACTTGGAAAAGCAGTTCTTCGTTCCGTGCCTCGGCGTCCATTCCCTGGTTCAGAAGTTCGGGGAAGATCAACTTCGAGGTAAGCTTGGTATCGTCAATAACTTCGTATGCCGTCAACAGAACCAGATGTCCGTGGAGATCGCCGGCCATCATCTTGATGGTATCTCTGTAGAAGCGGGTAAGGAGCTTGCGGTCCTTAGCGTTGGAGTACGCCAGACTCAACGACATCACCCGTGCACCAGACTTGGTAAAAGCCAAGTTCTTCACCAGGTCTCCCTCTTCATCACCCTTCAGCAGCTCAACGAACTCATTAGCCTCGGAGCTGCCCGGCTTAGTGTTAAGGTAGTACTGCAGCATGGCGTCGTGCAGGATGGTGAAACCAGAGTTGCGCTTCTGCACCAGCTGGTTGACAAGCTCCCAGAGGTAGTGCATGATGGGGCCCCTCTTCTCCGGGTGCGCCTCAAGGATCTTAGAGAGGTCTGCACTGGGAGGGCCGTTCTTGTCATCCCTAAAGATGACGAATTCCGGGCCATACCACTCACGGAGGAGGTTCGCCTTCTGTTCCTTCGTCGCAACCGTGCGGTAGATGTCGTCGAGAATCCAAGACCCCTCGGGGTGTCTGATGAGTCTCTTGACATGTCCGTAGAACTCGGGCACGATCAAATCACGAACCTCAGCATCACCGTGAACAATCAACTTTCCGACCAGGAACTTGGCATAACGGCTCTGCGCAAGCTCATTGTAGCTGCCCTTCAGTTCCGTGGCGATCATCTTCCGTTGCTCCATGTTGGCGTATTTGAGGGCCGTCTGGATGACACGGACCGAGTCATGCTTGAAAACGAAGTCCTTCACACGTCCAGTAATGATTTCAAAAAGCTCCTTGATGAGCTTCTTCCGCTCCTCGAGCGGAACATGGGACTTGCGACGCAGCTGCTCCCACAGCTTCTTCGAGCGACCGATCATATCAGCGTTGGGTCTGGCGGCCCTGCGCTCTTGCAGGAGGGCCTTTTGCTTCGCATGCGATTCGCGCGACGTAGACTTATCTAAATAATAAAAAGCAACACATTAGTACCAGACTTTTCACCGAGGGAAAAACCAATCAATAAATCAATCATACTTTGCTGAGCATCCGCATCCGCAGACTTGGGCTTCTTCCCAGTATCTTCCTTCTCCTCGACCTCCTCAACATCATCCATAGCAACATCCTCCTCGTCATCCTCATCATCCAGAGCATCAATCTCCGAGTCATCAACATCATCCAGATCAAAGTCATCCTCATCGTCCTCATCCTCAGATTCAGATTCCTCCTTCTGCGCCTTCTTCTTGCTAGGAGTCTTCTTATCCTTCTTTCCACCCTTGTCGCCCTTCTTCGACACAGACTTGGATGCCTTCACGGGAGCCGCAGACGACTTGGCCTTCTTTGCGGGCACGGACACCGGCGTCTTCGTCTTGGTCCGTTTTCCATTGCGCTCGTCACCGGCGTCTACTCGACGCTTTACCCCGACCATGGTGGATATATTTCTTTTAGGGGATGAAACAGAAGTAGAAAAAGGAAGCTATACCCTTGAAAAGGAAAACTTCTCTAGCGGGGGATCAGACAGAATAAAAAAATATAAATTGATACGCCGCCCGCGGGTTAGCTTGCTCTTTTGTCCGGAGAATGGACTTTTTTTTCCCTAACCGTTTTTTGCTTTTTTCGGGGAGGGCGGTCGAGATTTGGTTGGGTTTGGTTTGTTTGCATTGCTGATAAGAGGTGCCCGTGTCTATCTGATGAATTGGGTTCCCGCGGATGGATTGGACTGGATCCATGCAGTTTCGAATATTGTGAATTAGAAGGATTGGTTTTATTGATTTATCGATTGACTTGGTAGGAGGCATTGGTCATCTAGTCATTTATATTGGCTCAGAAAAATGTTTCGCATGCAGGAATCTCTATCGATGGATCAAAAGAAACATCAAAAGTCACCGATGCAAAGCCCCGACAGCGCGCAATGCGATTAGATTTAAGCCAAAACCCACACAATGAATCAGACAAGCAACACGCACAACTGTCGAGGGTGATTGAAAAACAAAAATAATTCACTTCAATGGTAATCCCCTTCCAGACGCCTACAGATTATGAATTACCCAGTATATAGTTACACACCCCCTGCGCTCGTATCACGCATCATGCACCTCCGATTCTGCATTAGCCGGCGGTGCTTTGAAAGTACCTAATTCTGAGCCCACATTGCTTGGGCCTCTCTTACGGCCTGGGATGTGAAAGCCGAGAGTCGATGATTTGGTGGTACTGGAGTTCTGTGAAGAGTCGTTTGTGAAGTCCCCAAAACGAGAGAAGATGCTCTTCCGCTTTGGTTTGACTTCCTCGTCGTCGAGCGCAACCTCCTCATATTGCTCTTCTTCCATGGCTTCCGGCTGCTTGCTTAGATTTGAGTATAGCGTAGATGGTGTTGATGTTATATGGGAGACTCGAGAGTCAAGCGATGTCCGAGATGGCATCGCATCGGTATAGCATACGGGTGATCGGGCAGAGATATCCTGTAAGCGCGGTGTAAGTCACTCTTGCGAAAAACAAACAGGTTCAAGTACGAATGGGTAATTACAAATGATCGGCGATACGAATCAAATGATTCGCGAGATATCGAGAAGGGTTCGTTCTCGTTTACGAGATCGCGATGGTGCGAGGATCTCGGAGAACCAGGGTACTTGCGCCAGAAGCCCTGTTTCTCTGGAGGTGAGGGCTGTTGACATGTGAGTTACTTGTCCGCATGCGAAAAAGTCCCGCCCATGTGATTGTAACGGTAGTGGTTCACATACGGGATGGTAGATTCCATTGGCGTCGACGACTGGCGGGAAGAGGATAGAGTTAGCGGGGTAAAAAGGATCCATTGAACTTGGTCCCAGGTGGCATACCACTGAGTTTATATTCAGGTGGCTCATTTTCGGAACTCTTCCTGAAGCTCAAAGGACTCGAGCCATGAGTGTCGAGTGAGACCTGGCTAGCAGAGTTATCGTTCGGAGCGGCACTGACTTCCCCGCCATTGGGGGCAGTGGACTTTCTGGACAAGAAGTTGCGGAACGGCGCCATGGTGAAATGATAAGGAAGGGAAGCAGTCGCGCAGGCGCAAAGAGACGGAGAGTCCCTGACAGGAGAATAAATATGATGAGGTGGTCAAGCAACAATGGCGAGACTGAACCGGGCGAGTTGCTGGCCAGGATGTACAACGCTCAAACCTCACATGATCGGCGGTCTCGGGCATCGGTTCAATTTATGAAAGGATGGTTCATCCGCTGGCGGTGCAATCACAATCTGTTGGACGGGGTCGTTCCGACTTTTGCGAGGGGTAAGAAAAAATTGGAAGAAGAAAAAAAAAAAAAATTCCTAATGGCTCTCAACACAGTTGATTTGCCACTGAGTTGTGTGCAACGAACCTATCCAGACTAGCCAGGCATTTTGACCTCTCACTAGTCGAAAACAAGGCCGGGGAACTTGGGCATATCATCATCGCCTTTATCCCAGGCATTGTAGTTCCATACTAGTGTCCGAGATAGCGTCATTGTGCCCCATTCATGTTCCTTTTCATGAGGGGGGTTATGCATCACCTGACTAAGCATTTCCTTGTCTTGGTAACGTCAACAATGCCATCGTATACGTAGTCCACACGGTGCTATTACTACATGGCTACAACTCTATTCTGACTATCAATTGTTACCCTACCTTATCCGTTAAATTTCCAGGATCTCTTCTGAAACCCCTGGTGGCTACTAAGTTGAGATGATTGTTTTTTGTTGCTCTGTTTCCCCCTTGCCGCATGCTAATAGCATGATAATGACTTGGAAGAATACCACTGGAAACGCTCTCACATTCATTCATATCAAGCAAGGCGACATAGCTCGCTGTAGATCATACTTACTTGCAGCAGCGTCGTCACTTTCATAAGTCAGAAGTTGTGGCTTGCAGAACCCCATCCCCATACATGCCAATCTATCCGATACGATATCCCATTGGCCGTGTGTCAAAGCCAGGGGGGCACATGCAACCTCTGCCGACCATGCTTCGTTGAAGTCTATCTACCTCTGACTAGTTATATTGATGCAGAGTCTAAGAGGGTGCTAACACATACTCTGTAAAAAGCGCTCGGGGATGTTGATCTCTTTCCGCCTAGCAGACTATAGACGTCCGCGTCGATTATGCTCTAGCCCGAAGACGATTGGCTCATTGTAATGTATCTTCATTGCTATTGACAGTTGACACATATACAGCGTATAACTATCCCAGTGGTAGCTATATTCTTCTCTCTCGTATTTGGTTAAGCATGGCCAAGAGCCTCCGACATTACCTTCCTGAAGGCTGCCGACCCAGTAGTATGAGGCCAACACGGGTCCTTTAAAGGCACCTACCCGTGGAGCTCTTGCCAAACATAACGGAGGCAGTGGTGTGCCTGCCATGTACATGCGTGTCATGAGTATTGCTGCACTCCATCTGATCGTCTTTATGAGACAATCCAACGTGATTATTCTGGCTCATTCCGCTTTGCGATCGAGATATCACATAACTTGAAAAAGTATAGGTCAGACTCCACGTTTTGCTACTGGCAGCAAGTTGATTCTCGTCTGAGATGGCGACACAATCGAGTCGATGTCTAGATATCTTATCTGACATCTTGTTGTCCACAGCCTCTCCTACTATCAACTATCACCATGCCTAAACTTTCGGCGCTGATCGTCTCGGTACTATCGATTTTCGTTTTGGTCGGACTGGTCTCTGCCACTGTCCTCCCCCGGAATATCAGATGCGAAATTACCGCACCTTACTGTGAAGATAAAACCGGCCATTTGATTACTACTCTGCGCCGTGACGTTCATGGCGACTACGACGCCGATATTGAAGATCTGAGCGATTCCGCTCAAGATGAATTAGCAGCCCCTCTTTGCAACGACAATTCTCAATGCAACCTTGGCCAAATCTGCAACCAGGGTTTCTGTGTCGCAGGTTGTAAGTCCAATGTGGACTGTTCTCGCTTTCACACCTGTTCCAAAGGGTCGTGCACAGATAGCCGTGGTAGCAGATGCGCCCCAAACAGGAGCAGATGTTCTCTCAGCGCCGAATGCTGCTCCGGACGATGCAAGCGCTGGGGCGGTTTCGTGGGAAGAAGAAGGTGCAGGGGCTTTAGAGATGTGTGAGGTTAATGGCCTGGCTGCTTCTATTGAAGCCTTATGTGGGCGGACTGGTGGCTTGAGGGAAACGAAGTATTGTCTACCAGTTGTGGCGCTGAATGAATTGCCTCTATTGGGCACAAAGGCAACCACTATCGCCTCACCTATTGCATGGATCATGTATTAGTATCAGAGCGGAGAGGAACGAAGGACGCATCTCTAAACAACATGATAACTTCATTAGTAGATTTATCGATTGTAGTAAACCAGTCAGTTACCGTGGGTTAGACGAAGTTACACATTGAACCTTACTGGGGTGTATTCGTAATGTCACAATCTCACACACATTGAAAGAGTACTTAATATAAAGCTATATTCTCAAAATGGAACTCTGCCCAGTGCAGAAAAGTGCAGTTTGCTCTTGGAATGAGCAAATATGTAGTGGATACGACATGCTTTGAGTAGTATATAAGGAAGATGCGATATTATTGTTTAATATCTGTCACGGATAGTCCGGTGGGAGGTCAGCCGCCAAGTCAATAACCTTGCTTAGGTAATTGCCAGCGGGACTGGTGCCTGGTACGAATCCCGGGGTCGTCATTGTACTCGTGCGAGTAATCCACGATGCTATGAGGCGCTAAGCAATGGAAGTGACCCTTGAGGGAAGCAATTCTGCAGAGACATTTCCACCCCGGGATGGCGTCGCCAGATTACACCGTCCCGTTACAGGGAAGTTGGCACTTTGGCTGAGCAACTACTATTCTCTTCTTTTTGCTTCCTTTTTTTAGGCCATATAAATGGGTACTAAATATTCCTTCTAATTCTTTGGGCATAAATCTGCCATTCTGTAGTGAATTAGTTACTAGTTAACTCTATCCGTGTGTTATGTTGATGTTCAATGCTAAGAGTTGCAGACGGTCGTTGTTGTGTATGGCTTCGCTCCCGCATTAGTATATATCAGGACCGTTGCTTTCCGCATTACCCCGATGACCGGCTCTTCGAGCTGAACATTTTATCTATGGAAACCGTCTGAATCCAACTGTCGATAGACTGTTATTTATGGTGAATATTTTAAGCCCAATGATGAAAGACCACAGTGTCTAGGCAGGTATGCTATTGAATCCCGCTGTCATCATATGTTACTATGCCGCATTCACTTCATGAACCTTCTTTCCCCCATTGCAGCCTACTTGCACCTTCCCCAGCTATCAATATTGTAACGAAGGACCAGCTATCTGCTTTCGTACCTGGTAGCCTGCATCTCCCACCCCCCCAATTTCAAGCACCATACACTGTTCAGGATACCCTCCAGGCTCACAACTGAAGCAGCAAAGCCGACCTCGACATACGTCCTCTACAGAACTGTCTGGGACAGTTACAATCCACGCCAGCGAAGTCACCCAGGAGAAGCCTTTTGTCTCTAATTTACACGACTGTTTTCCTGAATCTACGCTGGCTGCATTTCCCCAAAAAGACACAACACTCACAAAACGCACCATGAATTTCTGGATTGGTTGGGCGCTCTGGCAGAAACTGAGCTTTGTAAGACACCAAAGGCCTCAAGAACGAGGAATGTCGCTAATCTACTGACCAGGCGCTCGCAGGTCTTCTGGTAAGGGGTCAGTGCTAGATTGGCATACATCTCACTAACACGTCAAGGCGTTGGTATTGGTGTACTCATTCATCGTCCTAGCCTACAACAGGCGAAAGACCATGAAATATGCCACCGCCGAAGCACGACAGAAAGCAGAGATGCAACCCATGCTGGCCAAACCGAGCGATATACCGTTTGGCGCTAGAGCTTTAGAGAAGGGAATTCAAGTGGAAGGCATATGGACACCAGATTGCCATTCGGCAAGACAGTCCACCACTCACTCGGGTAGTAGACCTGGAAGTACTGCGTCGGCGCCCAGGCCGATGTTGATGACGTTGACAGGAGATGATATCCAAGGTCTTGAGCGAACATATCAACCGGCACCCAGCCCAAGCATCTATGACCAGTGCAGCTCCCCCAAGGTTCTAGACATTGAACACGGACAATCTGAGTACATATCTCTCTCGCCAACCAACCAGTCTCTCCAGCTGGATGGCCCCATTAGTATTGGACCGGAATACTCATCTGACTTAGACAAGCGTCGCTCAAGGTGGTTTGGTGCGCGAAGCTCGTGGGTCAAGAAGCCCTTCGACAGTTACAAAAGAAGATCAACACCAGAAGGTAAGGTCCTGAAGTATAACGGCCTGAACTTAGCAAGCTAAATATTACACAGGGCTTCGCCGCACTTCATCGGAAAGTTTCAGAAGGAGAATCAGCAAACTCATAGACGAGAATATCCGGACAAACCCGGCTGAAATATATCAACTAAGGGCCATAAACCAGGAGACGCTTGAAGGCCGTAGAACGCCATCACCGACGAGGTCGCAAGGCATTGCAAATGCCATGCTATGAGCGTGCGTGACCAGATTGATTTGCCATCCTTCCAGCCAGCCTCTGCTGTTGACCCAGTTACATGCAAATGCAACAATACTATCGAGAGGCCCATCACCCAATCGTTGGATATCGTTTAGTCATGGATAAGCCTCGGTTACCGTGACGAAATATGTTGCGAAACAACTGCACCCTGGAAGCGCGCAGTACATGCAACGGAGACGGATTGTATTTTCTTTTCCCTTTTCTTTCTTGTGATACAGAGAAAGTATGTGCTCCATATGCAGTCGAATAGCACAGGTTTGACTTGACACGTATTGTATTAATGTAGACATAAGGATAGGCCTCACAATTGTCAACTAAGCTGAGAACGGTAAATGGCCCACCAAGGCAACAATCTGATGCCGCTGGGCACGTGATGTCGCGACTGCCTGGACGCGTCCACAATCTCAACATGACTTGAATAAACGCGCTGCGACAACGGCAATTTGCCACCATAGAATAAAAACCACGGATTTCTGGACAATTCTGCCTTATTGATCACGGAAGCCGGGTCGTGTGTTGCAGTCGATTCAGTGGTGAGATTTGAACCACATCAGGAAACCGCAACTGATCTAGACGCGTGTGCGCGCGATCAACAGGCTAGATCTATTGCCATCCCCCTAGACTTCTTTGCAGTATAGCTACAAAAACCACTGGATTCCGACGCTACAGAAGTCTGAACCCTGTGTGAAAGATGACTGCCGACACCGATACTCAGAATGAGTACGACGATGGGCTTCCGGGCCCCGGAGCGCCCACGCCACTCTCTTCCCTGGAGGTGAGCAATTCAAACGGCAAAATAATATATGTGATGACGGGTAGGTGAAGTGCATGTACTGATGCTCTTCGTAACAGGGTGTCTCGGGCCTGACAAGTAGGGATATTAAGCTGTTTGTTGATGCTGGATACAACACTGTTGAGTCGGTTGCATATACGTACGTCTATCCTTTGCCAGTCTGCTTCCGTGCCATCGCCCCTTTTTCAGTTCTGCTCACAAGCATGTTCTTGATTATGGTACAGGCCAAAACGTTTGTTGGAACAAATCAAGGGTATTTCGGAACAGAAAGCCACGAAAGTCCTGGTTGAGGGTGAGTATTGCTCTTGTGGCATTGGAACTCGTTCGCGAGGATCTTGTCTGACTCAATGAATTTGTAGCTATGAAGCTTGTACCGATGGGCTTTACCACCGCGACCGAAATGCATGCGCGACGAAACGAACTTATCTCAATTACGACAGGCTCGAAACAGTTAGACACCCTTCTTGGAGGTGGCATTGAGACAGGCTCTATCACAGAGATCTTTGGAGAATTCAGGACAGGAAAAAGTCAGATATGTCATACACTCGCTGTGACTTGCCAATTGCCTTTTGATATGGGCGGAGGAGAAGGAAAATGCCTATACATTGACACAGAAGGTACCTTCCGACCAGTGCGTCTGTTGGCGGTTGCACAGCGATACGGGCTGGTGGGAGAGGAGGTGCTGGATAATGTGGCATACGCTCGTGCGTACAACTCAGACCATCAACTTCAGCTACTCAACCAAGCTTCTCAGATGATGTGTGAGACTCGGTTCTCGCTCCTTGTCGTTGATTCTGCCACTTCTCTGTACCGGACGGACTTCAACGGCCGTGGTGAATTGTCGTCGAGACAAACACATCTCGCGAAGTTCATGCGTACTCTGCAGCGCCTCGCTGATGAGTTTGGTATTGCGGTCGTCATTACGAACCAGGTCGTTGCCCAGGTGGATGGTGGCCCGAGTGCAATGTTCAATCCCGATCCAAAGAAGCCAATCGGTGGTAACATTATTGCGCATGCAAGTACGACGCGGCTAAGTTTGAAGAAAGGACGGGGCGAGACTCGGGTCTGTAAGATCTACGATAGCCCATGTCTCCCTGAGAGCGATTGTTTGTTCGCTATTAATGAGGATGGTATCGGGGACCCGAACCCCAAGGACTTGGAGAATGACTGAAAAGGGCGCGGATAGACTCTCAGGCTACGAGTTCATGATTATAGTTGTTTTGCTGGCATGTATAGGCTGCGTAAATAATAATAGCCTCGGACATTCTAATATTCAGTACAACTAGTCATCACTTTTCGTAATATGAGTCAATTCGCATTATCCATCGAATCGATTAGTGTAGTTGCGGAGATGCGGCAAGGCGGTGGCAGCTTTATTGCTGGGGCGGCGCCAAGACCTGTTTTTTCTGGAGCGCCGAAAGAGCTTCAGCTTCTGCCCTTCAACTCCGCCGTGCAGCGACACCTCCCTCCAATTACCTCCATCGGCCATGGAGACTTGAACTGACCATTAACTCCAGATCGTGCAGTGTGGTCTGTTCCTTAGTCAAGTCATGGCTAGAATCTACAAAGATACCCGGGTCGACCTCCGGCCGTACTCGCCGAACACCGTCGTCAACATCCCGATCTCGACCCAAGAAAGTACGCAAAGCCGCGCGCGATTCTCGGTCATCTCAAGCCCCAACCGTGACGAGCCGGTCGCGAAGGACGAAGACGAATTTTCCAAACGATACTTAGCGAGCCAGGGTTCGATCTATTTCCGCAAACGCAATGTCTACCCCCGAACCTATCTGTGGAGAGTTGTCGACAATAGCAAGATCTTGGAAATCCAGTGCGTGGATCTGACCAAGGCTGGTATCGAGCACCACGAATACAATGTCACACTGCGCTTGGAATTTGAGGAAGGAATTGTTCCTTCAGGTGTTGATTTTGCGGATCTGGAGGATCACGAAGCGTTGAGCGTGTTCGTGATCACCACCTCTAAGACTCTCCACACCTTGACACTGCGCCCTGAGTTCTTCCGTAGGACTGCATCAATTGACGATAACATCTCCGACTGGTGCAAGACTTTCAACCCGGCACCTCTCACATTCTCTTATCCGCACCGTTTACATGCAAGCAGCCCGCTGGAGCTGTTCGTCTCCCTCGATAATGGCGCGCTTTTGCGCCTGACTAGGAAGTCTGGTGATGATGGTAATTCCACCTTCCTTGCTTTTGTTTCACACCACCAGTTGTCATGTAACTTTGATACTGATCTGTCTTGATGTGTCTCAGGCTCCCACTGGTCTTCCCTGACATTCGACGAAAGAACCTGGGGCTCGTCGATTCGTGGGCTGGTCAAATGGCATGCGCAGCCGTCGATAAAATACAGAGGACGCACCCTTGAATTGAGCGCGCCAAATGCTATCGCCACTACAACCGATCAGACTTATGTATTCGCTGTCTGCTTGAACCACACGCTCAAGATCTGGAACCTTGCTACCAACAAGTTGGCTGCTACGAAGGACCTATTGGACCGTGAGGTGCAACCGTCGGAGGAGTCTTTATACTCGCTGAATCCGTCCGAAACTTCCTTCATTAGGGTCTTTAATATGGAGCGTGCGCTTGACGGTGCCTACCGTTATTACGTCGTCACCTACTCGCCGTTCGAAGACGGGCTCTTCAAGTTCTGGGCTGTAAAGGGAGGCCTGACATCGCCGCTTGTTATTGAGGATCTGTACCCGGGTGCTGCATTGAAGCCTCTGGATCCCGACTCGACCGGGAGCATGTTCTGGAGTATCGCCGACTTCCAGATCAAGCCTGCAGAGGAAGGAAAACGCATGGAGCTGTGGGTTCTGTGGAGAAACAGCAGCCTATACCAGCTGTTCACGCTACATTTCAACTTCGAAACACTGGTGACGGATTGGAAGTCCAATTGGGCGTCTACAGTTACGGACACCCGTGGCCAGGAATATCCCCCTGTCATGGCCTTGTCTGATGTGGTGGACCCGACGGAGAAGTGGCTCGAGTTCCTTCTCCAGCCCAACAAATACTCGGCGGAGGTCCTTGAGACTGCTCTCTCTATCTACCAGGAGGCACTCAGACCTCTGTCATCACCCAGCACGCTGAAGAAAAGCGCTCCTCTTGCAGAAAGGCTCTGCTCTACGGTTGCTGCTACTGTCTCTCTCCGCAAGTACGCCGATGATGGGATGGACTTCACACGGTATCGGACAGATACGGACTCGAAGTGGCGCCAATTCTGGCAGATTGCGGATGATGTCAACAAGAGAAGATTCGAGCCAGTCTCCCTTGCATATGACGCTTACTATGAGACACCGTGGATGGTCCTTTCCGACAGCTGCGCTGTAATCCGTGAATGTAGCTCAACCGAACTTATTTTACACAACTCTGGTCCAGAGCTTCGCGCGGAAGCACCTAAGATCGTTGATCGCTGGAGGCACCGGAATCTGGATTCAGAGATCGGCAGCCTCTTCGAGGATGCCTCTCACCTTCTGAACGTTGCCTCTAGCTTCCGGAGGAGCTTCGCTGCTGAACTTGAAGTGGCATGCCAGGGTGCCCTTGAAGCAGAGCTGTTCACTGAACCCTCCATCTCTGTGCAGGATAGGATGGAGGCGTTCCGCGAGCGATGTGATTTTGGAGAGCAAATCTCTAATAAGACATACGATGGCCTGGTTGCTGCCATTAACGAGCGTTTGAATATCTTCAGCTTGCAGAATGAAGTCTTCTACACCCTTGTGGACACGATTCCACTGGGCTTCCCTGGAAAGGACTCTGACCTCGTAAACACTCATTTCGGTGTCAAGGTCATCGTCAACGGTGTCCAAGAGACGATTGCCTTCACGCGAAAGACTCTGACAGACCTCTTATATATGATTATTTTCATCGATGGTGAGGTTCAGCAAGAGGAAGACTCGACATTCGACGCCGCAGACTTGTTCGTCACCATTATAACCCTCCTGAGGGAGTACGAGATGATGTCTTGGCTGAGCTCGAATTCCCGCAAGTGCTCTGACAGACCGGCGAAGGCCACCGACGACATGTCTGTCACCTCGTTCTCTGTCAAGGAAACACCAGCAACAAAGGGTGGCGAGAGGATAGCGACTATCCTTGAGGATCTGTTCGCCAGCGATATCAAGCCACGTCAAGCCGTCGGCCTGCCCCAGAGCTACACGATATCTCTTGGTATCCGGGACATACTCTCTTGGGTGACTCGTCAAGGCGAAGTCGCCTATCCCAATGCTCTTGTCTACATACAATGCGACCTCATCGCCAAGAACAACATCGACCTTGCATGGGACTTCCTCCGCTTCCAAGCGAGCACGTCCTGGGCGACCTATGTTAAGGGTCGGCTGTACGTTGCCATGTCCGAATACGACACTGCGGCTTTGTATTTCCGCAAAGCTGCCTATCTTCTTTGTAAGTATTCGCCTCACTTATCCGTTGTGAGCCTCTGTCTGACCTTGCACAGCGTGCGGAAAACCCCTGGGTAACCTGCACGAGATGTCCTCGACCCTCCTGGACATCGTCTCCGTGGACTGCTTCCACAACGGTCTTCCCAAGTACTTCCAACACATCTTGACGATATTCGAACATGCGCGCTCGTTCTCCCACGTTGCCGATTTCGCCAGCCTCGCGCTACAGGCACTTTCCAGTGAGCACGGAAGCGAGCAAGACCCCGAATTCGCCAGCTTACGGGCCGACCTCCTCTCACGTCTGTTCTATGCGTCCCTGCAGAACTGCCAGTTCGACCAGGCATACTCCGCGCTGGCCAGATACCGGGACCGCGCCCTGCAGAAGTCTGCCCTGAGCTCTCTCATCACCGGCATCCTGGCCGCCTCAGGACCCGGCACCGCTGGACTAGAGAAGATCCTTCACTTCCCGACAACGCTCATCCCCAACATCGCCTCCCACGTAGACGATATCCTGGCCTCGCTTGCCCGCAAGCAGACCTCCTTCAGTTCCTACCTCGACACAGAGAGCAAATGGGCCGACAGCACCCCCGACTACCAGCGAATCCTACAAGCATACCGTATCGCACGGGGCGACTACCGCGGCGCAGCAGAGATAGCTTACCGCAACGTCCAGCGCCTCCGCCACGCGCGAGACCACTCAACCCATCTGGTCCTCACCCGGGCGCGAGAAACCGACGACAGCCGACCCATCGAGGAAGACGACCCAGAAAGCAAGGAAATTCGCCACGAGCTCCTCTCCCTCATCAACCTCCTCGCCTGCGTCGACAAGAGCGAATCCTACATCCTCGTGGATAGAGACGGACCATCCTCCTCTTCCTACAACCCCCTCACCGACCGCCGTCGCAGCAGTCTCGCCCCCGCCGACGACGACGGAAACGTCTTCATGGAAGACGCCGAAGCCACTACTACTGGTGGCCCGGCCTCTCCCACCCCCTACAGCTCCTCATCCCACCCCAACCAACACCGTCGGCTCAGCGCCAGCCCAACCGCCATCCGTCCCTCCAGCCGTCGCGACAGCAAGTCCTCCATCACATCCGCCACCATCACAATCCCCCAACGTCGCGCCATCGTAACGCTGGACCATCTGCGTCGCGAGTTCCAGACCGAGCTGGATCGCGTCAGCCGTATCGAGCGTGGCGACTGGGAATTTGGAATCCTCGATGACGGTGATCCCGCTACTGGAGGCCAGGATCATGATGATACGATGCTTCTCGCGTAGATTTGCTACTTTCAGCTTAAAGCTATTCCTGATCATTTTTATTTTTTTTTTTCCCTTTTCGATTTTCTCATTGTTCAACTATTTTCCTTATTTTTTTTCCGTCCACTCAATCCATCCAATCGTCTATTACACAATAAATACGGGAGTTGAAGGAATCTTAGTTACTGCTATAGCTAGGTAGTTGCCTTGTTACGCTAGTCTAGTCTAGTCTAGTCAAGTTCGATTCGGTTACATCGTGATCAGCCCTGTTGTCATCCTGTTTTCTTAATATCCCCCTATGAATACTCCGGACTTATCCTAGAACAGTAAGATCGTGTATATCTCCGATCCGGACATTTTCCTTGTTTTTCTTTCTTTCTTCCGCATGCTTTCCTGCTCGATCGATCGATCTGGGGCGGCTGGCTGGCTGGCTGGAAGGATCGTGTGTGTGTATGCTGTAAAGTACTCGTATGTGAGTGGCGGGCTAGTAAGGTAGGAGGAGCAGAGTTCGGGTGTATTCTATTTTAGGCCTAGATACTGTTTCTTCTACCTTGATGGATGTTGAAGATTCTTTCTATGTTAGCTTAGTTTCAATTTAGGAAGTTGTCTAGATCCCTAGGAAGGAGTGTTGATCCTGATCATTGCTTGCTAGTACTATCCAGTATCTGGCTATTCCGGGACTTGGTGGAATTGTGTGAAAGGACATGTGGATGGGTCCACGTAAGTCCGGATCTAGTTTGTCATGAGGAAATATTATATGCCGGGTGGTTATACCGGTGAGGATTAGTTTGGGTCGAGTTCCTTGATTTCTTCCCTGTTCCTTGCCGTGGAGGTATCCAAGAGTCATGCATGCCTGACACGCTAAGAGATCGGGCCCATCCGCTTTCCCCCGCCCCTTTTGAAGAATTCGGGGAATGGTGATGAAGTGGCCCTTTACAGATCGAATCTGGTTTTCGCACATGTTCGCATGAATGAAAAACTCAATTAAATTACCCGCTCGGATAGATCGAGCTTAAAGTTTCATTAAATTAACCCCTAGATTTTATTATGTACCGTCATGAAATGTGACCCATCATGGTTCATATGTACCTCCCTGCTGGCCGCCCCACGCCGTCAAGCCAGCTAGCCAGTCACACTAAGCCTAGGGCGACTCCTCCTGTTCATCCATCGCCAAACTTGCATAAAGCCTGCTAAAGTGTGACTTGTCTGAACAGAGCAGGGTATGCGGGTTTCCGCACTCCACTATACGACCCGCGTCTAGAACGACAACCTTGTCGTAGTCGAGGATCGTGTCAAGTTTGTGCGCAACGGTGAGAATGGTGTGGGAGCTAAACTTCTCGCGGATGATCCGTTGCATTATTTCGTCGGTTTTGGTGTCCACACTATGCATCAAATCCGAGTCAGTAACTGTGCTCGGGGTACTGGGTTGGAAGGGAACGTGCGTACCTGCTTGTGGCTTCATCAAGGACAAGGATATTTCCTGGCCGGAGAATGGCTCGTGCGAGACAGAAGAGCTGTTGCTGGCCATGAGATAGGAAGAGATCATCAATGTCGACGTCAAGGCCGCCTTTCTCCTGGACCTTGGAATACAGGCCCACGCTCTTGAGAGCATGCGTAATGGCTTCATCGGAAAAGCACCCTGTCGGATCGGCATTTGCTCTCACACTACCCTTCATGAGAAGGGGACTCTGAGAGACTCCATTGATCCGCGAGCGGATTCCCTGACGTGGCAATTGGCTTATGTCGAGCCCATCAATCAGAATTTGGCCGGTAGTGATATCCACCATACGGAACATGCTCATTATGAGTGATGTTTTACCACTAATTGAATGGTATTAGCGGCTAAGCTGCACAATACGTCGGTCAGGTTCCTTACCTTCCAGTCCTGCCACAAATCCCCACCTTTTCACCACCCCGTATGGTCAGGGATACCTCTTGAAGGACCGGTTCAGAAGCCCTATATCCGAGAACTGTAAGCTCCGAGGCGATGTAGTGAGTGGGATATCAAGCACTTCCTTACCTGTACTCTGCGGACACAGACTTGAACTCGATCTCCCCATTCGATGGCCAGTTCGGTGGTATATCACGATTTTCCGTCGGTAGATCCTCTGACGGTACTTCTTCTGTGAATGTTCTGACACGATGGATCGAGCCAATGTGTGTTTCGAGATTCGTCCAGAAGGTTATCAGCAGTTTGATGCTTTGGCTGAACTGGATGACGTTTAGCAATGCCACTCCAACGTACCCTGCGCTGATTGAGCCCCTCAGCACCACAACAAGCACAATTAGCAAAACTGCAATGCCTGCGACTACCATATCCAGGCTGAGTGTAAGCCAGCGTTGGATGGCGTATAGAAGGTAGAAAGGTCTTTGGGAACGATCCAGCAGCATATCATTCTTCTCCTGCAAGGCCTGTTGCCACCCAAAAGCCCTCAGGGTTACCAGACCACTAAGACAATCGGTAAAATGAGAGAAAAGTGGCGCCTTCTCTTCCAGGTCTAGCAGCCGTAGTTGTCGAGATGTCCGGAGATACATCTTTTGTATGAGATAGACGATGAGAATCACTAGTGGGAATGAGATAGCAGCGTATTTCGAAGCAACCGCTATCAAGATCATCTGAGCTATGCAGAGAGCGAGAGCTAGTAAGAACCAAGAGTAAGCGACCATGCTAGGAAGCTCATTTTTTTCATTCAGCCTTGAAACCTACTCGCAAATGTGTTGATAGCAGCAATGGGAAGTTCCATGTCGATGAGCTGCAAATCCTGACTGAACCTGTTGAGGATAGCACCGCTATCGGTCTTGGAGAAGAACAACATCGGCGCACTATTGATGAGTTAGCGTACATTCCTCACATTCTATGTGGGACATACCTGAGCACTGTAGTCAAGAGCTCACGGTGAAAGACCTCTCCAGATTTGGGCACCATAGTAATAACCATTTGCCTAAAACAGAGTTAACTAGAATTATGACCAGGGCTGTTATTGGATTGAATCACTGACCAACAACCAATCATGAGGCAGATCATGCCGATAACGCCGAGCATAGCATATATCCCGAGATAATATCCTGTGTGCTTGCCAGGTTCAGCCTCATTCGAACTGGCCCACCAGTTCACCCAGATGCCTGCGTCAAAGTCAGTTAACAACTTTATCATTGGAGAAGCTTTGATAGCCCGTACTTGGGAAGGATATGCAGAATACAAAGCTCGCTATAGCCACGATAAAGATAATGGTAGGAATCCAACCAATAGCCTTGACGTAGTATAGGTAGATTGACAAATCCCCGCCTTTTCCTTGAGTTTCCGTATCGACACCGGGCTCGGTCTCAGTATCTGCAATCTTCGGCTTTTCTATCGTTTTGATTTGAACACCTGATGCGGGGAACAAATCTGCTCTGTAACCCCACTCGGGGAGACCAAGAGCAAAACTGGAAACATAACCACCAATTGCGTCAAGGGCCTTGAAGCTTCCTTGCTCTATAACGCGTCCGCTTTTGTCGAGTACGACAATATGGTCGGCATAAGGAGCGCGTTTCACTATTTGATTAATTAGTGATAATAAACAAATGCAGGATCGTGAAAGAGCCGTGACTTACCTGAAGAAGACGCGAATATGATCGTTGAATCTATCGAACGCAGGAGACCATGTTTCCCAATCAAGTGGTGGAATATATGGTCTTCGGTCGTGGCATCCAAGCTGCTGAACACGTCATCTAGAATAATAACAGTTTTGCGAGCATAGACCGCTCTGGCTAGTGCCTACTTATATTAGTACAAGTCGATCTGCAGGCATGAATGCAGCCTGGGCACCTACAATGCGTTGACTTTGACCACCACTAAGAGCAACACCTTTGCTCCCGATCACCGTCTGATCACCCCGTGGTAACTGTTCAAAATCCTCAGTCAAAGCACAGGCGTATATAACTGAGTTATACCACTGGCTATCAAAGGCAGACATGGCGACAATGCAATCACGGATGGTTCCGTTCATGTGCCAAGGAGTCTGCTCGCAGAAGCTAAGACTATCCAAGGGAAGTTGGATGTTCCCATGGAGGCAAGGCACTTCTCCAAGGAAGGCTTTGAGTAGTGTAGACTTTCCGCAACCAGAGGGACCGATCAGTAGAGTGAGTCCACCTTGCGGAATCGACATCGTCAAATTCTTCAGCAACGGCTCCTTAGTCGTGTCCCATCCAAAAGCGCCGTTTTGGATAGTAACAACATCTTGAACCGAAGAAGGAAGACTCTCCTTTGACGACGGGAAAGAGGTTGATCTTGACTCGGTCATGCTAACCTCTGTATCTTTGATAAGAGCTAATTGGGACTTTTCGTCAAGCGGATAGGATGAAAGACCGGTCGACTTGTTTCTCGGATCGATGTGCTCCTTTTGTTCGAGGAATTCCTGGATTCTCTTGAACGACCCAACTGATCCAGCGAAATTCATTAGAGCCATAACGAGAGACAGAAGAGGGTCTGACAAGAGCGAAAACAGAGACAAAGATGTGTAGACAACGGAGGTCGTCAAAGCAGCATCGTTTCCTCGATCGTGAGAAATTCCGACGAAAGCCCCGAAGGCAAAAATAGGCGCAAAAATGCGCGTCAGCCAAGCTAAAAGCCTGTCGTCAGATCATTCGATTCATAATGAAGGCTGTAAGCTTACCAAGGGCCATATTCCAGACCAGAAGCTTCCGGAATTTCCTGGAGATGCTCAACTCGTCAAGACGTAGATTATGAACACTGGTAAGAAGCGCTGATTGAAGACCGAGCATCTTGATACCTTTCATAGAACCAAGCATAGAAGATGTTGATGAGATGCGCTTCTCAATAGCCTCGAGCCACCTAGCTTGTCTTGACATAACGAAAGACATTGCTATAAGCGAACCGACTAACGCCACTTCAAGAGGGAGAAGAAAATGTTAGGTCCTATGAGTTCCAAGGAGACAGAAAAGGGCAGCCTTACCAATAGCGACACCAACAGGGACGACGCAAGATAAGCCCAATTGTCTTTCGAGGAGGTAGATGGCCAGACCGATCTCGAGGGCGTTACCCCATATATCATGCATAGTCTGCCAACCTTGCACAATTCTCTCAATGTCTGCGCTCATCAATGTGACAGAGGAAGCAGGATCCGCGTCTTTGGTACTCAAGGTGCACGCTTTTTCATAGATCATAGAAACAACTGCGCCTCTGACCATTGTGATGGATCGATATGTTAGATGCTGATATTGGCCCATGGTCACCTAACATCATGCCGTGTCAGAGACTGAAGATGAGAAGACAGGCCGACCTTACTCACTCCTAGCCCAATATAAACGAGTATATAAGCGCCAATTAAACCATATCCAATGTTGTCCGTGCTCTTGTTCACAGGCTGCTCGGAGAATGATAGAGACCTTTCTAGTAACAAAGGTTGGCAAATATTAAGGGCAGCCAGCATGACTCTTGGCGGAATCACAGCTAGGATTGGCCATTTGAACGCCTTCAAGCAGGCGAACAACAGCGAGGTTTCACCGTTTTCCTTATCTGCCAAATGTCAACGCCTGCGAACTTCGACTCCTCCAGCGATTCATAGAGGATCTTACCCTTTGCAACCACACCCTTCAAGACACGGTGCAGTCTCTTGGATTCCAACTGTTTGTCGAGAGCAAACAAATCGTCAACACCAAGGACCTTGGAAAATCCGCGACGGAACAGAGAATTCAGCCACCAGAAGAAGGACCTGTTGTAGATGCCCGCGAGGGCTTCGGGTGGGTAGTTTTCATACTCAAGCTTGAGGATGTATCGCTTCTCCGTGGCTTCGAGGAGGAGCAGGAGAATCTTGAGCCCAGCACCCACGGAAGTAATAATCGCAATAACTTGATTGATATCCTCAGGAAGTCGCAGCCAGAGCGTTCGCGTTTTCGCTATGTCAAAAAGCAAAGTCGCGCCAAGGTAAACGTTGAGAAGAAAAGATGGTCTGACAGAGAAATTGTGTTCTGCATAAGAGAAAACACAGAGTAGAAGAATTCCCACCGTCGTTACAGCGTTCGCAGCAACTGAGGCATCCGTTCGCGTCGCAGATGGAAGGGCCCATAGAACCGTCAGGGCTAAATTTAACATGCTTAATGCGATCCATGACACCTGTGAGAGATGTATGAAATACAATGGTCAGCAACAGGATCGTGGGCTGAGTTAAGAAGTCACGGGTTCAGCCAATTCAGGCAGAGTCGCACCTGCCTATTAAAGTAGGTTGATGGATGCGCTCGTTTTGGCAAGAGGCCGTCTCCCAGAAGAAAATGGTACGTACTGTCTTTGCCCATGCCAGCCAAGAAGCTACGACTTTGCGCGGTCTTCCCAATAGATGACCGACTCGAAAGGGTACCAACAACAGAACAACGCCCAAAGGTAATACCCCCAGGATTAACTCCTCAAAGAGCAGCGAGAAATCAAAGCCGCTCCGACAATATGACGGGGGAATATGTAGGGTGTTGTCCACCTGCTGGCAAGAGAGGAGTGCCGCCATGACTAGTACCTACACCCGGAATTCCATTTACAACCGCGGAGGTAGGTATCCAGAGTGGGATGCGACAATATGATTTTGGGGCGGCAGGGAATCACTGTAGATTGTAAGGTTTTATGTCCAGCGAGTCTTACTGAGGGTTGACTTGCAACCTTTTTTTTGCCTTGCAAAGCCTAGACTACCAGCTCTCCAGGGATGTGCCTTTTTTAGTTTCCTGATCATTGGGAGTACCTAATACTAATCAATTGGGCCTCATGATCAGGGGCAGTGCTAGTCCAGTTGTCCTCGCATACAATGATATAATAAATATGCTATTTCTAATACTGTGTCTCAGTTTTCTCCTTGTATTGTTTTTGGTTTATTTTATTTATTCTTTTTGTCACGCTTAGGTCAAGCGTTTCGATTACTTGATTGGGACCATTTTCCATGTTATTTTATTTATTTATTTATTTTTTCGGGAAAAAAAAAAAGAAATACTTATTATTATTAATCCATACCACACTCCACCTGTAACTAACTTAGTACTTGCCGATGGCGATTAGCTACGTTGCAGAGTCCCCAGGGCGCTCGGGTGGTGATCCACCTTGGGCTCTGCACCAGCGCATCCATGGATGGTTAAGGAAAGCGAGCTTTTTGAGCAAGATGATTCGGCCCGTTCCACTCATTTCCTGCTTGAATGCATGTTTGCTTTTCCCCCGGTCCCCTTCGCAGCATTGCTTTTCTTGCCCCGGGCAAACGTTACAGGCTATCAATTCTCCTTGCCCTCGCATGTAACGTAACGATGACTTTTCTGCTCATGGGACCACGACCAGCCAACACGAGTTCGGTTCGAGCCTACATAGGCTATCGGGCTGATGAGAGGCGCTCCTCAAGTTCACCAGGTACACGAAAAAAAATCAAGCCCGGTTCGTAGTTCGCCCCCACTGTTTTCGATGCTCATAGCCCCATCCGTCCGAAGACTGACTGAGCCCGCTGGCCAAGCTCGCTAAGGTGATGGTGTACCTTCCCGGCCATTGTTCTCAGGCCATTGTTCCATCCGTCAGACGTGGGCAGAAAAGCCACGAGCGGACCGAATCAAAAATAGGAAGTTCAGTACTGGGATCCAGTAGTATTTACCTGCCTCAAAGCAAGCCAGTCTACTGAAGGGGCGCTTGAACTAATAGTGAGCGGTCTGGAAGCTCCTTTTAACGCCGACACCGAGTGATAGAAGTAATTCAAATCCCGACTGACACCGAAGGTGATCACTGACCGCTAACCACTTGAGTATTGAATCTTATCCCTCATAAAGCTTCCAACCCAGCTTCCCCCGCAGTGGAATGGTGAACCTGGATATAACCGAGATTGCCAGATAGAGTTTGCCTCGCAAATCCCCCTTCGTGTTGATCCTACCAAATTCAAAAAGGACGTAGACGTCATCATCACAGGGCAGTTTTGTGATTCTACCAGGAAAAGCAAGGGGACGGCTGAACTCGACTCCACTCGATGGTAATTCCGACGAGAATTGTCATCGAATCGGGGATATCGCTCCCCTTAACCACATCTCTAGGGACAAGTTCTAGGTGAACTGGGCCCTTATCTACCAGTAGTATGACATTGGGTACATAGGGACGTACCGCAGTCAACTGACTGTTGAGTAACTTGTGTCCAGTCCCACGAGGACAGAAGACCTGGTGGCGAAATATCTTTGTCTAATCGGTCAATAAATACGAACATGATCCGGAGGCTACAGGCACTCAGTCAACAAGCTAGTTGCAAGCGAAGTGTAACGTTGTCCCTATCCTTATGTATGTAGAAGCACTCAGCGTAGCAGTGGCTGAGGACCTAAGGTAGGACGGGTGGGATGGTCGCCACAAGCGGGATAGCAATTGAAAGGTGATTCTTTACACCCGGGATCTCGAGCGGCCGGCCTTTGGTACCTGCTTTGTCGATGGGTGTGTATATGTGTGTGAGTGGGTACAGAAGAGCATACGTCGAAGGTATGGAGGCGCCTAGGAACTAGAACTAGAATGAGAGAGCGGCGCTCAAAAGTTAGGACACCAGTGGATGAGCACTGTTGTAGATGGGCAATCATTCGGCAGAAATTCCTTGCATCTTTGAGAAGGATTTAGTGGCTGAAAGTTGGCTGCATACCCACCATTATGTGCGTTGTTAAGTTGGCTACACACGGCCTCAAGCTTGGATAATCGCTTTCGTTCGTAGCGGAGGTGGAGATGGGATGGATGGTTTTGGCGGTTGGCCACTCCCACTTACAGTATGGTAGAGCCTTTAGTGCTGCGGAAGGCTTCCGGCTGCCGCGACCCGCCTGGCAGCCTAGCAGGACTTGACTTGAGCGTTCCTTAACTACTTTGTAACTAGTCAGTTAGCTAGGCCCTCCCGGCCTGACTAACTACGAAGCAGTAACTAGAATGCCTTGGATGCCTGTTGGGCGAGAGACCCCATACCCCATCGGTGCTAGATGGCCATTCCCGTTGTCGCTATCGACCACATCTTAACTCCCGTTGCTAAGTAGCCCCTATCCCCGAATTGTCTAGAGGAAAGCCCACACGACTTGGTCTTTCCTTCCCTCAGCGCAGATCCTGTCATCGATGCGATTATTAGATCATAGGCTGGACTCCAAAGCCTAGACGCCAGGCCGGGGCCAACCTCTCAATGCTTACTCTTTTTTTTTTTTTCTCTAGCCTGCAGTAGTGAACTGTCAACCAAGACATCGACGCATGACACAAAATGCTTTCCCTACTTTCCAATTTTTCTTTCCTTATTATTATATGGAAATGATTCCTATGTCACTTACCGTACTCCGTAGGTACCCGTTGTATCCATTCTCCCCTCGGCAAAACGGATGTCTCGTATTCCGACAACTTTGCAGAAACCACGGAGCATTGTGCCTGATACAACCTGTCATACGGGATGTTGAAAATTCTAAGGAGTGGTAGTTTCGATGACTCGCGGCAGAATCAATTGAGCGGCAGTATTTTCACGGTTCGAATGGAACATGCTGCATTTTATTCTCCGGAAGCTATGGAAGCTTTTTTTCTGCCCTTTCGCTCCCTGAGCGCGATCGATCGATTTCAATGATACTTCCCGGACTGAGTAAGGATCGACTTTTCCGTCCTTACCCGCCGTTCCTGACCCCATCGCCCCGATTTTTCCTTGCTTTTTCCCCTATTGATCGGGGTTGCGCCTGTCAAACCTGGATGACGAAGGATCGGCCTCCGACAAAAAGTAAGAAAAAACAAACGAGGAAAAAGAAAAGATATTCTTACAAGCGGTGATTGTGTGAAAAAATTGTGATATGCAGCTAACCCATATAACAGCTAGTATGCAGTACTAGCGACTCCATCCTCATCTTCCTATGGCCTCAAATATCCGAAGCGCCGAGTTCGTTTCTTTATCCCCCTGCCATCCTTGCATGGTTATTGATTTTTAGCTCGCATAGACTGTCCCGGTGGTGTGTGCTATTTATGCCAGGAAGCTTTTGATCACCCGTTTTGATAATTAATCGCCGCGACGGCCGGAAACCATCCAGCCCAATGTAGACGGTTTGAGTGGCCAATGATAGAGTTCAAGGTACATGCAAAGTTCCTGGTAAACATTGGCTACCCAATGGCAAATCGTTTTCCCTCCATACAGAATACTAAATTTATGGAACTCAATTTCATCGATCTTCACACCAACAAACCATAAATACGGAGTATATGTAGCGAGGTTTATGCGTGCATAGCGATCCATTCGAGTATATGCACACGTCAAGTAGCCACCTCGGAGGAACGCAAGGGCTGAACTCTCGTGTTCGATGCAGCATTGATGCAATGCCGTTGGTGAGAATCTCGCCATCGCTAGTACGTACTTCCTAGCAACTTCGGAGAAAGCTTGAAATAGCAACTAGCTTCCTACCAAAGAACTCTCCTTTCTCAATTTTCTGTCTGGTTCACTTGTGGGTGTCGAAAGATTCGTCATCCTGCATTAGAAGCTAGATTTCTCGACGTCGGAGTGATCCGTCGGATTTGAATTTGGCATACGAAGAAGTCACTTTATGTTAATAGCTTACTCATGCGCTTCAGATAATTAACTAGTATCGTAGTTATTTCCTTACCTTGTATGTATTTAATATACTGATGTTTATTGGTAGGGTGGCACTAGCTCTGCTCCGACGGCCAGGGCTGACCGTCTTTACTACCTAATAGAGGAAACGGTAAACTCCGCTGTTAATAACTTTAATACATTATTGCCGCCATGACACCCGCTCTATCTGGGTGTACCTGACCCAAAACATCCAATACACTTTGCGGAGTACATGTAAAACAGTAAATAGTCAATATACAAAATGAGGGCATTATGTAATTAGTAGCATAAGTCGACTTGGCTTTTCAGGTCAGATCGCGTGTAAGGGAAATACCGAAAAAGGGTACTTGTCATGTGAGCCCCTCTTCGCTTTTTCTGTTCTATTTCTTTTTGTCTAATTTTTTATTCCCCCCCGAGTCCGGATGATTATTTATCTATTTAATTATTTTTCCCCTACCACTCGAACAAGGAATACTAGCCCCTGGTTGTGGGGGGAACGTATACGAGTTTCAGTTGGACATGAGATCCATACTCATAACAAGGCATATTATCGACTAGAGCTGGCTTTAGGGTATGGAGCCGTACAAGCCCCAATTGGATCCGAGCATTGGCTTCCCGATCAGGAACTGGACTTTTGTATGGACCCAGTCAGTAGCAACCACAGCGAGTTCACTGTCCACTCTCCGTGTCCACTCCGCGCCCTCCCCCCCCCCCCCCCAGTAGCACCTGGATCTCTTTTCCCTACTCGCCTGCAGTGTCTGAGTTTCGGGGTTTCCTACTCGCTCCTTACCGTTCCGACAGTTCTCCGACAGCCTTCCGAATATACTTAGCGTTATAGCCGCTACGTGCAATTACCCAGGTAGGTATACCACCTGGTGACTTGGCCCAACGTCGAGACTAAGACAGCTGAGCCTTTTCACTTCGCCGACTTTATTCCTGCAAGACTTCCCACTGGTCAGCATGCAGTCTGTCAGTCCTGTACCGTAGATTCCAGCATGTAGTGGAGCTGGATGCTAATGCAGCGCCTTTCTGACAGACAGAGCTCCTAATCGAATGTTGTTAAGCGTTCGAGACCGACCTCGAAGTTCCGGGATGATTGAGAGCCGACATAATGCACCCAAAGCTGGATACGCCCTCTTTATGCGCCCCGATTTTGAGCACCAACCAACGTCATGCCTTGGCTTGTATTGTATTGTTAAGCGTGTCAAGGCCGGTTTCCTTGATTTGGATTCGGCCTGCCCAGGGTCAAACTAATATTTTTTTTTTCTCATTTTCTTTTTGTCTTCTTTGGTCCTTTGCCCCATTGCCTTTCCTGCTGTCTACCCGCCCCTGGTTATACACTACAAAGTGGGCAACCCGAGTTTGATGGTTTCAAGCCATCGGCTTTTGGGTTCAAGCGCCCTGCAGAACTTTGTAAGCCATGGAATCTCTTCCCTGTTGCCTCTTCAGCTTCGCCTAAGCAAGGGCATATGGAGTATACTGTATTAGCGTGGTGGCCAAAATCCACGCCATTCATTGCACTACTTCCCGACCCAGTCATTGGCCGCCGTCATTTTCGTATTTCGATGCTCGTAAGCAATTGCAAATGCTGCTGAGGGAATTCCGCGCCTAGGTCTCTCTATGGATCTATTTTGGGCCGAGAGAATTTTTGGGGGGACCCCATGATAATGGTGGCTCCATGGGGACAGGCTTGATTTCGTTTTAAAAGTAGCATATTGTACGGGGGTTGGAGATTTCTAGGATAACCCATCCACTCCCTCCCCCTTCTCCTCTAGGTGTTCCATCCCAAATCCTCAGAGAGAGATACTTTCCGGTACCCCCATCTACATTATGGCCCAACCTGTCTCTTGTTGCTTGCCCAAGTTTGGCACGAGCACTCATGGGCCAAGGCGGCCTGCTTCGTTGAGGATCAGGACGAGTCCTTCCCAGACTCTCCAGTTGCTAGCCGCTTGGGACCAATCCGAGTTAGATTCTTTACTCAAGGCCACTTGGGCCTTGCTTCTTCATCGCTATACTGGCCTAGAGGACATTTGCTTTGGTTACCAACCGATTGGAGTTGATGCCGGTCCCCGCGATACTGTTACTTCTTCCGATACCCATAATAATATTCCCTTAACTTTTAATCTGACCATTACCGAGGACGACTCTGTCCATGCCATTTTGCGCAACACAAAAAAGCAGAACGAAGCTGAAAAATGCGGAAGTTCAAGCTCGAGTTGCCACAGTTATACCCTGTGCAATACCCTTCTAATGCTGCGCAACTGTCGCAGTGTTACGAAAGATCCCAGAGCCCCTCTTGTGCAACCGGCCTTGGCAATTCCCTTGCCCGAAAAGGTGGGTGACTTTCCTCGTTCTTTGGCGTCCTCTCACTTTCTCTTCGCTCCATCTCCCCTTCCCCCCTCCCACCTTCGATCGTGTGCGCTTCTATCAGCCCACCGCTGCAGGTGGCCTTGGCCTTTTAACCCGGACTGGCTGACCTCTCTGTAGTGCCGCGTCAGGCTGCACGTCAAAGTCCTGCAGAAGGATGTCGGTATCTTCTTCGAATGGTGGAACAATGATATGTCCACTGAGCATATGAAGAGCGTCGCCGACTACTTCGAGCAGATACTTTCACGCGTACTCTCGGCAGAAGATACTGCCGCGAGGGACCTGAACCATTTCTCAGATCGAGATTGGTCCAGAGTCTGCAATTTCAACTCTACCATCCCCCAGGCACATGACCGCTGTATACACGAGGTCATTCATGAGCAAGTCCTGGCTCGCCCCGGAAGTGAAGCAGTTTGTGCGTGGGATGGAAGTTTGACCTACCAAGATCTGGATCTCCTGTCATCCCAAGTTGCTTATCACCTTCAAGCACACGGAGTCGGCCCTGAAAAATGTGTCGCTCTGTGTTTCAACAAATCAGTAAGTTTAACATCAAAGATCGATATGTCCTTTGGGGCAGGTTGTGTCATCAAGTGACTCGGCATTTTCGCTATTCGGGACTGACTGATTCTCATAGAAATGGAATGTAGTGGCAATGCTGGGTGTTCTGAAAGCTGGCGGTGCTTTCGTCCCCCTTGATCCAACACATCCAACCTCTCGTCTACAGTCGCTGGTGCACGCTGTGCAAGCCAAGGTCATGCTTTGCTCCAGAGACCGAATAGGAGAATTGACTGGGGTAGCGGAGATGATAATACCACTGGACCAGGCTATCATAGACGAAATCTCCCTTCAAGCTGAAGAAATCTACTCATTGCCGGATGTACAAGGTCACAATGCAGCCTACGTGATATTCACTTCTGGATCAACAGGAGAACCTAAGGTGCGCTATTCCTCGAAGCTTCCCCCAGATCCACATTAACAGCCCGCGTTTAGGGTACCATGCTAGAGCACAGAGCCTATGTATCCGGAGCCGCTGCCCATGCTGGACCGCACCATATGTTTTCGACTTCACGCGTCTTGCAGTTTGCGGCACACACGTTTGATGCCAGTCTTGTCGAGATCTTGACTACCTTGTTGCAAGGCGGCTGTGTCTGCATTCCAAGTGAAGAAGAACGCTTGAGTGACATAGTCAAGGTCATCAACGAGATGAACATAAACCATGCTATTTTGACCCCATCCTTTGTTGAGTTCATTGATTCCTCGCAAGTCCCAGGTCTTGAGACCTTGATTCTTGCTGGAGAGGCGATGTCACAAGGCCAGCTGGAAACATGGTCGTCCGCCCTCCACCTCATCAACGCCTATGGCCCCACAGAAAGCTCTGTTGCTGCCGTTGTTAACGCCAAAGTTACACCATCTTCTGATTGTCGGGATATTGGACTCCCCGTGGGCGTACGTTGCTGGGTTGTAGACCCGAGCAATCATGACCAATTAGTACCCGTGGGTTGTCCGGGTGAATTACTGCTTGAGGGACCGACGCTCGCTCGATGCTATCTCAACAATCCTCAGAAGACAAGTGAAGCGTTCATCCATGATCCAGCCTGGATGAGAAGGGACGGATTAAATGACTGTAACCGGAGAGTGTACAAGACGGGTGATCTGGTAAGATACAACTCCGACTGTGGCTCACTGACGTATATAGGCAGAAAAGACACGCAGGTGAAGTTTCATGGACAGAGACTTGAGTTGGGCGAGATAGAAAACCAGCTGGCTGCCGACCCAATTGTCAAACACTGTCTAGCTTTTCTTTCGAAGTCAGGGTTCTCTGCAGGCAAATTGGTGGCGGTAATATCCTTATCTGTTCACTTCGAATCTCAACCGGAATCAAATGCAGCGCCACTCAAGCTCCTTGATACATCGAAGAAGACCTCTATCGTTGCAGAAGTTCGCGAGAGATTATCAGCTAAACTACCAACCTACATGATACCCTCCGTTTGGCTGTGTGTGGAGGCATTGCCGTTGCTTCCGTCTGGGAAGCTGGACAGAAAGGCGACCGCAAGATGGATTGGAGATATGGAGCGAGACCCGTATGCCCAAGCTATAAGCGCCAGGACTTTGTCTGCGGATAAAGCCACACTTCCTTCGAGTGCCACGGAGGACAAACTCGCTGCGATCTGGAGCCGGGTTCTCAATATCCCCCGAAGCCAACTTGCCCTTGACGAAGGCTTTTTGAGTCTAGGTGGAGACTCTATTGCCGCCATAACGTGCCTCGGGTATTGCAAGAAGCAAGGAATGGGCTTGACGGTACAAGAGGTGCTTCATAGCAAGTCAATCAAGGAGCTGGCTACTCGGGTAAAACAGATCGATCAATTTGTTGTGTACGAAGAAAAGATCGATGAGCCCTTTGACCTTTCACCAATCCAGAAGCTTCACTTCATGGTCCGAAACGAGGGCCAAGGCCACTTCAACCAAAGCATTCTTACACGCCTGAACCGGCACATTGATGAGCATAGCATGCGACGTGCAATTGAGACCATTATCAATCGTCACTCTATGCTCCGCTCTCGCCTGGTCGAATCAGACGTTGAGGGGATAATGCGGCAAAGAATAACTCAAGACGTAGCAGGGTCTTACCGTTGGCGTTCTCACAACAACAGCAACCGAAGCGAGGTCGACCATGCTATCTCGAACAGCCAGTCATGCATCAATGCCTTCGTTGGCCCCGTACTTGCAATAGATGTCTTCTATGGAAATGACCATTCCCGCCTGCTGTCACTCGTGGCTCATCATATGGTAGTCGACATTGTTTCGTGGAGGATTATTTTGGAAGACTTGGAAGACCTACTGATGAACCCCGATCAACCGATATCACAGAACGGCTCCCTTCCGTTTCAGAACTGGTGCCAAATTCAAGCAGATCGTTGTCAAGAAGCGACAGCTGAACGAACCATGGATCTGCCTGAAGTTCCCGCACCCGATTTTGCCTACTGGGGACTAAAAAGCCACCAAACCACCTATGGCGATGTGGATTGTGAAACGTTCGATCTTGACAGTGATATTACTCGCCACATACTGACTGGGTGCCACGAAAGTCTTCAAACAGAGCCAATCGATCTTTTTCTAGCAGCTTTGCTACACTCCTTCGGCGAAACGTTCAAAGACCGATCATTGCCAGTTATATACAATGAGGGACATGGGCGAGAAGTCTGGGACTCATCAATAGATATCTCTCGCACTATCGGCTGGTTTACCACACTGTATCCCATTCTTCTATCGGAACTTCCTGCAAAAGATCCAACCGAAACGGTTGTACGTGTTAAGGATTTGCGACGTTGTGTTCCGGACAATGGTCGACATGATTTCGCTCGTCGTATGTTGGTTCCACGCGAAGATGGGACTTGTCGGCACTATAGCCCCATGGAGATGTCTTTCAACTATGTGGGCCAGCACCGTGACCTACAGAGAAAGGATGGGCTCTTCCAACTCATGGATCAGATGGCTGGAGAAACAGGCCGCGGAGGTGCAGCGGCTGATTTTGGTGAAGAAACTCCTCGCTTTGCACTGTTCGAGATATCTGCGATGGTTGTGCAGGGTCAACTTCGCTTTATCTTCTCCTTCAATAGGAATATGCAGCATCAGAATGGTATCCGTAACTGGGTACACTGCTGCAAAACATTACTGGCATCCCTGGGCGAACGCTTACAGGCTCTCCCACCGAAACCAACGCTAAGCAGTTTCCCCATGTTAACATTGACATATACCGAACTCGATGCGTTGGTGTCGAAAAAATTACCGGATGCCGGTATTCATAGTCTTGATGATGTTGAGGACATCTATCCTTGCTCCAGAATGCAGCAGGGCATTCTACTCAGTCGCTCTCGCGATAGCTCACTTTATGCTGTACATGACACATTCGAAATATCCGGGCCAGGAAGCACACCCGACATCAACCGATTGATACTTGCCTGGCAGAAAGTCGTTGCTCACCATGCAATGCTACGGACTATATTTCTGGAGGGGTTGAGCAGCCACGACCTACATTGTCAAGTGGTGCTCAAATCGTTCGATTCCCGCCCAACTTACGTCGTATGTGCGAATGAAAGCGAAGTGCTACCTACATTTGACAAACAGCAACCGATGAGCTACGATAATAGTATACCTCCTCATCGGCTTACAATCTGCCAAACGGCTTCTGGGAAGCTGTTTTGTCGACTGGAGCTGAACCATGTCGCCATGGATGGCGCATCAATCTCCATCATCCTTCGGGATCTGCAATTAGCGTACCAAGGAAAGCTCGAAGAACCAAAGCCGAAGTTCAAAGAGTATATACGCTACCTTCGTGAGGTTCCCCAAGTCGCAAGTCTTGACTATTGGCGCAATTATTTGTTGGATGTCCAACCTTGTCATTTCCCCGTGCTCAATGACGGCAAAGGCTCTGTAAGGCAGCTTCGGACCAAGAGATTGGGCGGTGTGCCATTCAAAGAGCTACGAACCATCTGCGATATGAATGGTCTGACCCTTCCGACTGCCTTTAGTGCTGCATGGGGATTAACGGTTCGCTCCTTTTGTGGATCAGATGACATCTCCTTCACCTATCTTGCATCACTAAGAGATGTCCCAGTAGAGGGCGTTGAATATGTTGTTGGACCTGTCATCAATACCCTGACCTGTCGTATGCTGTTTGCTAAAGGGACGTCACTGAAGGAGATCCTCGCAAAAGTTCAACAGGATAACCTGGACAATTTGCCGCACAGGCATATCTCACTCACGGAGATCCAGCAAGCTTTGGGACTAACAGCCTCATTGGCTAATAGTGGTATTTCTTACCGGAAGCTTCCCAATCAGAATGCTTTGTCAAGCGAGGAGATACAGTTCTCTGAAGTGGGGACAATTCACGACCCGGCAGAGTCGCCCGTTTTTGTCAATGTTGAAGCTACAGAAGACGACGCACGTATCGACCTTAACTACTGGACAGACCACCTGTCGGACGGGCAAGCAGAGAATGTCGCGAGCACATTCCTTAAATCGGTTGAAAATATTGTGCACCACTTTGAGGATGACGCCCATTCAATTGACAACTTTAGCGACGCGAACAGACAAAGCCTAATGCTTTGGAATAGCGAAGTCCCAAAGTCCATCGACAAATGCATGCATGAGATAGTTGATGAGTGTGCGAAATCCCACCCTCACACCATGGCAATTTCTGCTTGGGATGGAAACCTCACTTATGCTAAGCTCAATGAATTGTCATCGCTACTTGCAACGTACTTGACAACACTAGGGGTGGGCCCCGGAACAATCGTGCCCCTTGATCTCGCTAGATCCTCCTGGCAAGTTGTAGCCATCTTGGCAGTCATGAAGACAGGTGGTGTATGTGTTCCGGTGAACCCAGCCCGACTGCCACAACATTTCGAGACTTGGCTCGTCGACAATGAGATCCAGGTTGCCCTAGCATCACCGACTCAAATGCAACTACTCGAAGGGGCCGTTCCATATGTAATTTCCGTGGAGAGCTCTCTGTTTGAATACCTTTCAGACAGTGATGCAGTTTCAAGCTCACCAATTCAGCCATGCAGCGATGCATATATCGTGTTCGGCGCTGAGAGTCCCAAGTGCATCTTGATTGACCATCGTGCAATAACAACCCGGGCAAGCGCGTTCGCTTCAGGTCTTGGACTAAATGCACGAACAAAGATGCTCCAATACGCTCCCTATACTTCTGACATGTTCCTTCAAGAAGTCTTCGGCACGTTCCTGTGCGGTGGGTCTATCTGCATTCCGTCAGATGAAGACCTGGCAGACCTGTCAAAAGCCATCAAGACAATGCAGGCGAACTGTGTCAGTATCACACCCTCAATGGCGATGACTCTAAGATTCGCAGAGGATCTGGGGATAAAGGTCCTTGCTTTATGGGGTGAACACCCGACCAAGCAACTTCTTACCGCCCTGCCTGGAGGAATCCAAGTGCATGCATTCTATGGAACGCCAGAATGCTCATCTTCTTGCATTCGATCCTCTCAGCTTGACGGATCATGCGAATCGTCAATTATTGGGTCAAGTCTTGGATGTAAATCTTGGCTTGTAGATCCCTCCGATCACGATATTTTGGTTCCGATCGGCTGCGTTGGCGAATTGATGATAGAAGGCCCAAGTCTTTCTCATGGTTACTATCAAGATGCGGAACTCACGCAACAATATTTCGTCGAAAATCCCTTTTGGAGACTGGCATACGAATCCCAGCCATCATCAGACAAAGACAAGAACACGGACGCCCAGAAGCTGTCCTATCGATTGTTCAAGACTGGAGATCTTGCTCGCTACAACTCCGATGGCACACTCGTTTACGTTGGTAAGAAAGATAGAGGATTGCATTGGCAGCGACAGACAGCGGCCATTTACGTCGAAGAGCAAATCGCATCTCTCTCATCCTTCAATGCCCAGTATGTCGTTGAGGAGATCAGCAAGAGAAATGTCGATTCTCCCCGATCGTCTCTGGCCATCTTTTTCTCTGATGAGGCCGTCGACTCCAAGGGACACCACCAGCCTATTGCACAATTGTCACCTGAGCTGCACGACTCAATGATCAGGCTGTATAAAAAGCTGTCGAGCTCCTTGCCAGCGAATTCTGTCCCGAGACTGTATTTTCCGACGTCTAGCATACCACTGAACTCGTTCGGTAAGCTAGACCGCCAGCTGCTGAGAAATGCAGCTCAAAATCTGCCAGAAGGATTGCTGTCTAGATTCGACATCAAAAGCTTTGACAGCTTCTGGAAAGGGCAGCTGGCCACATTGGCGGTTTCGCCAGTGTTCCCGCCACCCCGTGGCTCTTTGTCTCAGCCGAGCACACCGGTCACCAAGCAAGCAACAAGAAACATGCAGATGGTCTGGTGTGATACACTCAGATCAATGACCGAAGGTACACGATGTGCTATCCTTTCTGCATGGGCTCTTACTATTCGCGGCTACACCAGCTCCCGTGATATTGTTTTTGGGGAGTTGCTGTCAGAAGTTGAATTGGCCTCCACTGAGCGTCAGGACAATTATACGCAAGCTGCAACTATCGTTCCCCGACGCTTCCAACTCAACGATGATTGGACCGTTACTGAGCTACTGAGCAGGGTGAAGAACCAACTGGAGTCAGCTAAGCCCTACCAATGGGCTGGAATAAGTCAAATTCAGAAATTGAACGCTGATACGGCGCGCGCCTGTGATTTCATGAACTTGATCTCTATAACGGACAATCGTGGCCTTGAACCAAGTCTAGTACCCATGAAACAGCATGACAGCAATCTGTCCGGTTATCCTTTGATGGTTGATTGTATCCTTGGAGATGCTACGCTCGAACTCTTGATTAGTTACGATGACAGCACTTTAACAGGCACCCAGATCGAGCGACTGGCTGCCCAATTCTTCGCTTGTGTTGGACTTCTTAACTCCAAGGCTAGCATGAGCAAGACAATTGGTATCTTGTCCAGAGACAACATGGACTTTTGCTCCTTCCGCCATGATGTTGCCTACTGGAAAAACTACTTGGAGGATGTTGAAGCTTGTCTTTTCCCGGCACTACGTGCACGTGCGGAGGAAAATACTCATGCTGAGACTCAGATAATACTCCAGAACACCAAGCATCTACATGATCTCAGTGAACGTGAACGTCTCAGCAAAAGCTCACTTCTTCAGCTTGTTTGGGGCTTGGTTCTGCGATGCTACACAGGCCTACAAGATGTGTGCTTCGGATATCACATTTCAGATGCAAGCGACAGATCTGCCAAGCCTGGAGTTGCGAATAAGCCAGATATTTCAGGTACATTCCCGTGCAGAATGCTCTTGAATGGTGAATCTAGGGTTGCGGAAATTTTGAGAGAGCGACTGCAAGGACTGAATCAAATGCAGCAGCATCGGTTGCCGTGGGATGAAGTCCAGCAAGAGCTTGGGTGTAGCGACATTTTCAATACCGTTTTCACTTGTTCAGAACAATCAAGTGACGCAGTAAATGTGGCTGGTCTCGCTGATCTTGATCCGAGCAAATACCTGATTACCGTCAACGCCACTCTAGCAGAATCATCAGGAGTCATTAGGTTCGGCTATCAAAGGAGGCACTTCTCAGAAACCGACATGGAAGGCGTCCTTGATTGTTTTAATAATATTCTGGGACAGTTACTCCAATTTCCTCTTCCGGATCTTTTGGTAGGCGAGGTTGACTTTGTGAGTGAGCTTTCCTGCCAGAAGATATCTGAGTGGAACTCGGCGCTGCCAGACCGTCCAGTGCTATGCGCGCATGAGCTCATCCAACAGCAAGCCTTGGATCGTGCTACGGCTCCTGCAATTTGTTCTTGGGATGGCAACTTCACATATGCACAACTTGACCGATTGTCGACTCTCCTAGCAAACCAGCTGGTGGGCTTAGGGGTCAAGCCCGACATCTTTGTTGCATTGTGTTTCGAAAAGTCCGCATGGGCAGTTGTTGCACAGGTTGCTGTTTTGAAAGCTGGAGGAGCCTTCGCTTCATTAGATCCAGCTCACCCAGAAAGCCGCCTACAAGGCATGATCGATGATCTTGGCGCTCAGGTTATTCTCTGTTCTGAGACACACTACGAGAGAGCCTCCAGCATCTGTCGTCGCGCAATGATCGTAAGCAATAGCGCACTTGAACAACTTTACCACTCACCCTTTGCTGCTCCGACCCAAGAGGTAACCGCTGATAACGCAGCCTACGCCATATTCACATCGGGAACCACAGGGAAACCCAAGGTGACAGTACTTGAGCATGTTGGACTTACCCTAGCCTGCACAGAGCTCTCCAGGGCCTTCTTCATAAGTTCAGAAACACGCGCTCTGCAGTTCTCAAGCTATACATTCGACGTCAGCATATTGGAAACTATCATAGTCCTTGCTGCTGGTGGTTGCATTTGTATCCCTAGCGAAGATGAGCGCATGAACAATCTTTCTGGAGCCATCAGAAAGATGAACGTCAACTTCATGAGCTGTACTCCATCTATCGTTAATACCATGGACCCCAATGCTGTTCCTTCATTGCGAACAATAACTCTCGGAGGAGAAAAAATGACTGCAAGCCATTTCGAGCGATGGGCTGACAGGTGTGTTATTAACGCGTACGGTCCGTCAGAGGCTACTGTCGCCTTTACGTCAAGCACAAAATACGACCATGCAGGAGTACGCCTTACTGATGACTATGGTTCTATTGGCACTGCTATTTGTGGCAGGACATGGATTGTTGATCCCCAAAATCACAATCGACTTGTGCCCATCGGCGCACCCGGAGAGCTCGTTCTTGAGAGTTGCACTGTTGCTCGTGGGTATCTCAATAATGACGGGAAAACCAAGGCTGTTTTCATCCGGGACCCGGAGTGGACTCAGCGTGAAGGGCTACAGCATGTGTTGAGGCGCAAAGAACGGATGTATCGCACGGGAGATTTAGTGCGCTACAACTCCGACGGCTCGATTGCTTTCATTTCGCGAATTGATACACAAGTGAAATTGAACGGTGTGCGCATCGAATTGGAAGAAGTTGAGCAACAATGCAACAACTATCTTTCGACAGATACTCAGGTTGCCGTTGAGGTTGTTACTCCAGAGGCCAAAACTATATCAAAATGCTTGGCTGTCTTCTTCACCATTGACGAGCACCAAATGAAAGATATGGCGAATGGTGAATTCATTCTGCCCATGTCAGAGTCTGTAGTTCACATGGTCAAGAAGCTACACGGTTCCCTAAGCGCTTCATTACCGCTAGCTATGGTGCCCAAGCTTTACTTCCCCATGCGGCGCCTGCCGTTTGGAAGCACTGGCAAAACTGATCGCAAAGCACTTCGAGCAATGGTCGATACATTTACCAAGGAACGCTTGAGACCATATGTTATCTTCAATGTTGGCACAGAAGAACGCTCCGATGTGGGAACGGAAGGGACAGAGGGCGTTCTCAAGACGCTATGGGAGGAAGTCCTTAACCTTGCGCCAGGTTCTATCAGTGCCGAAGACAACTTCTTCGGCATGGGTGGCGACTCGTTTTCTGCTATGAAACTAGTCGTAGCCGCGGCATCCCAGAATATTTCACTTGCAGTGGCCGACATATACCGAACTCCTATATTCAAAGACATGGCAAAGACATGTGGAGCGGGTGAGGTACAGACTGGCGTACCAACAGTGGACCCTTTCAGCATGCTGCCTGAATCTCTTTCACGCGATGATATTCTGGAGGAAGTCTCTGATCAATGTGGTGTGCCTATGGATCGAATTGCGGACATCTACCCTTGTAGTCCGGTGCAAGAGGGCTTGCTCACACTTTCTATCAAACAACCCGGAGCCTATGTCGCTCGACCTGTGTTCCAACTCGCAGAGGGAGCTGACCTTGACAAGTTTAAAGCTGCATGGCAAAAGGTGGTTAATGAAATGGATATTCTTCGGACTCGGGTAGTACACACCGAGTCCGCCAACTTTGTCCAGGCAGTGCTCACTGATGTCCCTATCCTCTGGGAAACGGCAACGGAATTGGATGATTTAGCAAACGACACTATTGACCTAGCCAAGAATAACGGGGGCTTGCTAACTGGATACGCCATTGTCGAGTCCGGACACTCGCGCTCCTTCGTTTGGACCATACACCACGCTCTCTATGATGGATGGAGTGTGTCCCAGATCCTTCAACGAGTTGAGGAGATATACTCGGGTGCTTCAAAACTTAGCTCGACGCTTCCTTACAAGCTCTTTATCAATCACCTGGTCCAGCAAGAGGCTCATTCCTCGGACGAATTCTGGAAGACACACCTCGCGGCCCTGTCTTCATGTCCTTTCCCCCAGAACAAGCCGTCACCTGATACCATTCGCGTCGGCAATCGGCATTACAGCTCGCTTGAGATTTCTCATGCACCAAGTGGGCCTAATTTAACCGTTCCTGAAATGATACGAGCTGCATGGGCACTAATTGTATCCGTCCACACCGGTTCCGGAGATGTCTGCTTCGCTGAAACCCTAATGGGTAGAAATATTGATATGCCTGGGGCTATGGAAGTTGCAGGACCTCTTTTGACAACGGTTCCTATACGGATGGCTGTCAACAACGAGCTCTCGATTATTCAGTACCTCGATAATGTGCGCCAGCTGACCACAATGATGCTGCCGCATCAACATTCTGGGCTCCAGAGGATTCGCAAGCTAAGCAGCGACACTGCCCTTGCTTGCGAATCCCAAAATCTACTGGTTATTCAATCAGAACAGGCCCATTCGAACACAAGTATCTGGGAGCAAAAGGATAACCTGACTGAAGGCGAATTTTTCACCCACCCAATTGTTGTCGAATGCAAGGTTGGCGAATCGCAGGTGGCCGTAACCCTTCATCACGACGAGCTTGTTTTCGACAGTTGGCAGGCTAAGATGCTCATTGAACAGTTTACCTTCGTTTTGAGTCAACTGTTATCAATCTCCAATGAAGAATCCAGAAAGATCGGAGAGCTAGAGGTTTCCAGTTCTCGGGATAAGGAAGAAATTGCTCTCTGGAATGAGAGAAACCTGACTTGCATAGACAGATGTGTTCATCATATCATTGAGGAGAAAGCATCCCTCCGACCTCAAGCTCAAGCCGTCTGCTCCTGGGATGGACAACTAACTTACCAGGAGCTTTACCAGCTTGCTTCTTCGTTTGCAGCTTACCTGAAAACTCGTGGCGTCGGTCCGGAGACTTTGGTTCCGATCTGTATGGACAAGTCTTTGTGGGCCATTGTCACAATACTGGGTGTCCTCATTGCGGGTGGAGGATATGTCCCCCTTGACCCTGCTCACCCAACGTCAAGGCACAAGGAGATTCTGACAGAAGTCGAAGCCCGTGTCGTTCTCTGTTCTCCCAAGTATCAAAGTCGGTACACTGGCTCTGTGAAAGCAATCATCCCTGTCAGCAAAGAGACAATCAAGGCGTATTGTGCTCTTAAAACGGCAACCGCTAAGACTACTAACAACGCTACACCCGAAAACGTTGCATTCGCTATCTTTACCTCTGGCAGCACTGGTCGTGCTAAGGGTATTATCATCAACCACAAGGCACTTGCCAGCAGCGGCATGGCATTCGGGCCCATGGTGCACCTTGACGAGAATTCTCGAGCTTTCCAATTTGCCTCTCTTACTTTTGATGCTGCTGTCATGGAAACACTCGTCACCTTGATGCACGGCGGTTGCGTGTGCATTCCAAGCGAAGATGAACGCTTGAATGATGTTGCTGGCGCTATTCGTCGGATGAATGTCTCTTGGTCATTCCTGACTCCATCCATAGCCAGTATCATTGAACCGTCATCCGTTCCATCTCTGAGGGATCTTGTGTGTGGTGGAGAGAAGATGTCTCGCGAAGTCATCACCAAATGGGCACATCGGGTAAACCTGATGAATGGATATGGTCCAACTGAAACTACTATCTTCGCGGTTATCAACACAGATGTTGCTGCCAATCCGGATCCCGCCTGTATCGGCCATGGCATTCCTTGCACCCTAACCTGGGTTGTCGATCCTGACGACCACAACAAACTAACTCCTCTAGGGGCTGTTGGTGAGCTGGCACTGGAAGGCCCCGCACTTGCTAGGGAATACCTCAAGAACCCTAAGAAGACAGCAGAGGCTTTTGTGGATGAGCCGGAGTGGATTAAGGCCTTCCCTAGTGTCCTACCTTCGCCCAGAAGAATATACAAGACTGGAGATCTTGTCAGATACAACTCTGACGGTTCCATTCAATACATCAGCCGCAAGGACCATCAAGTCAAGCTTCACGGGCAGCGCATGGAGCTTGGAGAGATTGAGCACAGACTATATGAGGACCCGCGAGTCCGCCACGCTGTGGTCTTACTGCCAACGGCAGGTCCCCTCAAACAGCGGTTGGTCACTGTTCTTTCACTGAATTCTGTAACTGCGGAGAAAAGCATCATATCAGACAATGCATGTGAACTTGTCGATCGGGGTGGATCTGCACGGGCAGCATACCAGGAGCTCGTTGCTATCCAGAAGAGCTTAGAGACACAGCTACCAATCTACATGGTTCCACAGGCTTGGGCTCTGATCAAGCAGCTCCCAATGCTCGTGTCTGGCAAGCTAGACAGGAAGCGAATCACAGCTTGGCTGGAGAACGTTGATGATGCTGCTTATGATCGCATAATGGAGGATTACGACAACATAAAACGTGGGGATGTCGAGCAAGACGAGGAGAAAGAGGATGACCGAGAGACTTCTGTCAAGCTTCTTCAGGAAGTCTTTTCCCAGGTTCTCAACTTACCATCTCACAAGGTGGGCTTGAACAGGTCATTTGTGAGCCTAGGTAAGCAAAGCCATAATGGTAACGGAGTGTGGAGAGTTGCTAATAGTGCGGTGCAGGTGGTGATAGTATCACTGGAATGGCTGTCATTTCTCGAGCGCGTAAACATGGACTCACGCTGACCCTCCACAATGTGCTTCAGTCGAAGTCGATAAAGGAGCTTTCTCTAGCTGCTCAGACAAGCGTCAAGACAGTGAAAAGAGAGGAGAAGCCTCATGAATACTTCGAACTGTCTCCGATCCAGGGATTGTTCGTTCAAACAACAACAAATTTTCGGGATTCTTCTCGCTTTAACCAAAGCATGACAGTTCGCGTTACTCGAAGGGTCGAGCCAACTAGAATGCAACGCGCCATCAAGGCTGTTGTTGAACAGCACTCCATGTTCCGAGCACGGTTGTTCAAGTCTCGCGACGGAAAGTGGAAGCAGAAGATCAGTGATGTATGTCTAGCTTCTCCCTCGCTAACTCTGTTTGGGTACCGGAAGCTTACTGATTTAGGATGTTGATGCCTCATACCGCTTCCGTCATCATATGGTGGAAAATAAAGATGCAATTCTCCCCAAGATCGCCGAGTGTCAACGGTCTGTAGATGCTCAACATGGACCCATCGTTGCTGCAGACATGTTCCAAGTACGCAACGGCATCACAATACTTTTCCTAGTGGCCAGTCATCTATGTGTTGACATGGTATCCTGGCGTATTGTCCTCCAGGACATCCAAGATTTCCTCGATGCTGGATCATTGTCCCCGGAGAAGCCCCTGTCATTCCAAGCTTGGTGCAACCTTCAGCTTGAACAGAGCAAGAAACCAAATGGCAGAGTCCAGCTGCCTTTTTCTATTCAGCCTCCCGACCTGAAATACTGGGGCATGGAGCAGTCCCAGAATCTCTATGGGGATGTCAAGATGGAAGGGTTCACGCTTGATGCCGCAGTCACGACACAAATCCTCGCAGCCTGCAATAAGGTTCTACGCACCGAGGCTATTGAAGTCATACTCTCCGCTGTTATTCACTCTTTCCGTCGCACGTTTACTGATAGAGAAATGCCGACTATTTACAACGAGGGCCACGGTCGCGAGGCGTGGGACAGCTCTATCGATCTCTCAAGAACGGTGGGCTGGTTCACGACTATGTGTCCACTGCATGTTGGTGAAGGGTCGGGTAAGTCTAATTCTAGCCTATCAACGGAGCAATTTCTGACTGCTATAGATCTACTTGACACTTTGAAGCGTGTCAAAGACACAAGGCGTCACCTCAGCAGTAAGAGCCGGTCATACTTTGCGGAAAGCCTGCTTCAGCCGGAAGGTAAAGAGGGCGATGCTTTCTCTGTCCCGCTCGAGATTCTGTTCAACTACCTTGGCCAGCTGCAACAGCTAGAGCGCGATGATTCGCTTTTCCAACATTATGGTGAAGCCTTCAACGCGGAGACCTTCGAGATGACAGGGGACATGGGCTCGAAGACACCTCGGTTTGCTCTCTTCGAGATCTCGGCGCTTATAATCAAGAACAAGCTTCAGGTATCGTTCACTTACAATAAGCACATGCAGAAAGAACAGCGGATCAAGGGCTGGATATCTGAGTGTAAACGAGTGCTGGAGCATATGTCTCGTTTCGAGAGCTTCACATCTGAGCCGACACTCAGCGATTGTCCCTTACTCCCCATCACTTACGAAGGCCTGAACAACATGGTCAAGAGAGCATTCCCAAAGATTGGAATTGATAGCTGGGATCAGGTTGAGGAGGTTTATCCCTGCTCCCCAGTACAAGAAGGTATCCTTCTTAGTCAGCTTCGAGACCCGGAGGAATACCTGTTCCATGTCATCTTTGAAGTGCACCCATCCAAGGGTAGCAAGGTGGATACAAGCAAGCTTCGAAAGGCATGGTCCATGGTTGTCAGCAGGCACCCTATCTTACGGTCTGTCTTCATTGACAGCAACTACAAAGGCGGATCTTTCGACCAGGTAGTGGTCAAGTCACTCGACGATGAGGTCATTGAGTTCCAGTGCCCTGAGTCGGATGCATTGGGTACACTTGGGGAAATAAAGCTGCGCGATATCAATGCTGAGAGATCGATGAAGCTCGCCCACCAGATGACCCTCTGCAAAACAACTTCTGGGCGAGTCCTGTTCAAGATTGAGATGAACCATGCCATTATCGATGGCGGGTCGGTTGATCTGCTTCTTCGGGATCTCGCCCTCGCATACAGTGATCAGCTTTCTGCCGGAACCGGTCCACGTTTTAGTGATTATGTCAAGTATATCAGGGAACAATCCCAGGGAGAAGCAGTGGCACACTGGGTGAAGTATCTTTCTGGCGTGCGACCTTGTCACCTCCTGGTATCTTCCAAAAAGAGCGGTAGCCACCAGCTCGGCGAGCGCATGATATCTTTCAAGCGCTTCTCTGAGTTGCAAAGATTCTGCGAGGAAAATTCCGTCACACTCGCTAACTTGACCCTCTGTGCCTGGGCAATTGTACTCCGGAATTGTACAGGATCTGATGATGTCTGCTTCGGATATCCGTCTGCTGGTCGTGACTCCCCTGTTCCTGGGATCCAAGATGCGGTCGGTATCTTCATCAACATGTTGTGCTGTAGAGTCAAATTCTCTCCCGGACAAACTCTTCTTGAGATTGCCAAGAAGGTACAGGATGACTTTGTCAGGAATGTGCCGCATCAACACTGCTCTCTGGCTCAGATCCAGCATGAGCTTGGAATGCATGGAGAGACGCTCTTCAACTCAACTCTTTCCATTCAGAATCGCTCTGCCAACAAAGGCACTAGAAATTTGCCGCTCGACTTCGAAGCCCAAAAGGCCCATGACCCGACTGAGGTGAGTTGATACCGTCTCGAGCGTAGACGCGAGCTAACCATTGATTTAGTATCCTGTTACTGTAAATGTGGAGACTACCAAGGGCAAGGAGGGAGTTTTGCTGAGGTACTGGAGCAACGCAGTGACCGAAGCACAAGCAAAGGAGCTAGCGGAAGCTGTTAACAAGGTCTTTACATGCTTCATCGAGGAGCCATCCAAGCTGGTATCGAGCTTGAACCTCCTTAACAAGCTACCGCGGAACCGTTCGCAGCACACGCACAGGGAGCCCCTTATTTTGGACCAGTTGATTGACAGTCAGGTCCTACAGAAGCTAATTGACGATCGCGTGAATGAGATAATCAGCCAAATGCTGAAGGAAGGCAAGCTCGCCATACCCCTTCCTGATCAGAAGACTAGATACTCGAACAGCTCTGTTCAACTCAAGATGGTCGAGGCTTCGCTCCAGGAGGATCCCATAATAGACGAAAAGGATCTTGCAAACTCAACACCATCCCTAACAGATGATGGCAGAAGCTCAAGTGACAATGATAGGCGCCTTTGGGACCTGTGGAAGTCGACATTAGGGCTATCTTCAGACACTATCCAATACCGGAGTAGCTTTTTCAAGCTAGGCGGTGATAGTATTACAGCAATGAAGATGGTCAGCGCTGCACGAGAAGAGGGCTTGCAAATGACAGTGGCGGATGTGTTCAACAACCCGATCTTCGAGGACATGCTGGCTACGATTACTCCGAGCAGCAGCCCGACCTCAAACGCCGATACCCAGTGCGCAAACAACATTGAAAAACTCCTGGAGGTTAATGATGCCCTTCCAGATGCTACCCCACCGCAGGATATCTCGGTGCTTAGGCCAATGCAGCTCGATGCCATGTCTCTGCTTGATGTCATCTGCCCTAAGATAGGGGTGTTCAAAGGAGGAATTGCTGATGTTCTCCCTGTTACGGACTTCCAATCCATGTCGATCGCTGCCACGCTCTTCGGATCGAGGTGGATGCTGAACTATTTCTTCCTCGATGGAAGTGGTCCTCTAGACCTTCGACGACTGAGGGAAAGCTTCTTGAGGGTGGTCGATGCTTTCGATATCCTTCGAACTGTTTTTGTCTGCCACCACGGGCAGTTCTTCCAGGTGGTGCTGAGAAAAGTCCGACCGGACATTTTTGTGCATGAGACGGAGCAGAGTCTAGATGAGTACACCAACAGCTTACAAAAACGGGACCGCGAACAAGATCCACGCCAAGGTGAGCAGTATGTGCAGTTCTACGTTGTCAAGAATAAGAATAGCGACCAGCATCGCATCTTGATCAGGATGTCGCATGCCCAATTCGACGGCGTTTGTCTGCCAAAGATTATGAACGCAATCAAGCTGGGATACGAGGGCAGCACCCTACCTCCAGTCTTCTCCTTTTCGAACTATATGCGGATGCTTCCTGGAAACATCACCCCGGCACACTACCACCACTGGTCAACAATACTCAAGGGCTCTAAGATG